CTTTGGATTGATCTCCTTGTGGAAATGGAACTAGCAGAATTCATGAAATCGTATTATTGAGCATGACGCTAAAAAATCAATAATGGTAGTTACATAACTACCGTATAATTATACTATTGCACAACATGTATTCAACTATTCCAACCCAAGAGTGGATTCTTTAATGTAATTTTTAGTTTGAGATTATTCGAATCAGGCGCCTAAAAATACTGCGGACTTTCGATTTAGCCGAATGGTATAGAGAGATCTGCTTTATCGACCTCGGAAGATAAGGCAGGGAGCAACATATCGATAAATGTTTTCAATAATAATTTTAAGTGAGGTTATTGGTTTTGATTTTTCCTGCAGATTGTGAATTTTTCTTCGTTTTATGAATGAAGTTTTTTGATTCTTTCATGTCTCTAGTTATTTGGAGACATACACTTAATAGAAAATGTAATTAATTACTTACCAATACGCCATTTTATTAACTACCCAATACAATTGGAAATAATCAATAATATCAAGGGAAAACTGAACAACTTTTCATTGAGAAATAATTAACGGGTCATTCATCAAGAAGATAACTGAAGTGCTATTAAAAGTTAAATGTGCACATACAATACAGTTTAGTATCAAATAGCTGAGTCTTCATTAATAACCTCAAAAATAATTATTTTTAGGAAAAAAAAGCTTTTTAAAATGTTTTTTTTTCAAATTCATTAACATTTTCCAATATTTTTGTGTTTTGAATTGAAAATATTGATTGTCGAATTTATTTATTGTTTTTTTTTGTTCACATGGTTAATATTCTGTTGACTGAGGGGAATATTTGTGGGGAGTTTAAGATAACAGACTTTGGTTTGAGTAAAGTTATAGATGAGAACTACAATCCTGATCATGGAATGATATGTAAATAAACGGTGGGGGGGCCGTTCGTACTTCCGCAACTGTACACATCCACAGCCGTCCACAGATTTGTGAAAAATGTGAGGGAACAACTGTACACAACCACATCTATGCACGGTCCTTGCAGTCGGTCAAACAGTGTCGGTAGAGTAGAAATTGCATTCGTTTTATTTGCAGTCGATATTAATTATGCATGGCGCCATGTGTCCCACTATACCACAAATGATCGTCGGAACAAGGTCCGCGATTCTACCGAGTGTCCACTGTTAAATACACACATATGTATCCCAAGTAGACTCTTTTGAATTAACACTGCGTAGCGCAGTCTCATTTGAATTGAGACATCAATCTAATATCATTGAATGGTTTAATAAAATTGAAAATGCAAATAAACTCGCTGTGAATTTATATAATTTTTTTTTTAATTGAAAACCAGAGTTGAAAACCAGAGTTTCTAACAGCGATGTCAGACAAGATATGAATGTTTTTTGGGGCTCAAATGAAAGAACGGCTCGAGAAATGGCGTACAGAAGTCCTTAAAGATGACAAATGTCTCTAAAGATGATATCTGTTTTCAACNTTAATAAAATTGAAAATGCAAATAAACTCGCTGTGAATTTATATAATTTTTTTTTTAATTGAAAACCAGAGTTGAAAACCAGAGTTTCTAACAGCGATGTCAGACAAGATATGAATGTTTTTTGGGGCTCAAATGAAAGAACGGCTCGAGAAATGGCGTACAGAAGTCCTTAAAGATGACAAATGTCTCTAAAGATGATATCTGTTTTCAACTGAAAAGCGTAATTGTGACAACATTGTCCAGTGGGGTCTAGGAGTCTCCCCAGGTTCAAATCCATCTTTAGAGGCATTAGTACGCCATTTCTCGACCCGCGATTTCATTCACATGAGCCCAAAAAACATTCATATCTGGTCTGACATCTCTGCTATAAACTCTGGTCTTCAACTCTGGTTTTCAATTGAAACCAGAGTTGAAGACCAGAGTTTGTGGCAGAGATGTCAGACAAGATATGAATGTTTTTTTGGGCTCAAATGAAAGATCGGGTCGAGAAATGGCGTGCTAGGGCCTCTAAACATGACAAATGTCTCTAAAGATGGTGTTTGTTTTCAATTGAAAAACAGAGTTGTGAGAACATTGTCTAGGAGGTCAATGGAGTTTAGGAGTATATTTTTTTTTTTTTCTATTTCATTGGTTTTATCGAAGTAGTTCTCGATTTGAAACCCCTCCTCTAGCCTGCCTCCCCTCCTTTACTTTTCCTCTCATTGTTATCTGCGGTATCATGGCCGTCTTACTCTTAGCTGTGCCCCATTCGAGCTAGGACTGCACGGGAAACCATGTAAAACCCCAGTCGCACAGCCAGCCGATTGTGCAGTGCCCTAATGTATCCATCTGTCACACTGACTAGATGGAGACACTAGGCCGCTACACCGTGTCTACCGCCCATAATTTTTGTGCGAGCGAGGTGTTCTTAAGCGGTCACCCATCCAAGTACTAACCCAGCTCAACGCTGCTTAGCTTGGATGTCCGCCGGAGCAACACCTCACCCACCTAACCATTACAGTCGGTGAGTTTAGGAGTATGTATAGAATATTGGGGTCTAGGAGTCTCCCCTGGTTCAAAACCATCTTTAGAGGCATCAGTACGCCATTTCTCGACCCAGAAAAAATCGCCCGCAATTTCCAACAGGGTGAGGCTCAGCAGTTGACTCAAAATCAAACACTGAAATCTTTCTTTTAAAATTCCACTGATAGAATTCCATTAATTACTCTTCGATAAAATTACATAAATTCACAGCGAGTTTATTTGCATTTTCAATTTTATTAAACCATTCAATGATATTAGATTGATGTCTCAATTCAAATGAGACTGCGCTACGCAGTGTTAGTTCAAAAGGGTCTACTTGGGATACATATGGGATAAAATTCATCCTCAGTTATTCCAGTCCAATCTATCATGGATTCCAATTTTTTTCATATCCACAGAAGTAACTTGATAGTATCAAGTATATTCACAGATAACTAATATTGATGAATCATGGATAAAGAAATCAACATAGATTTCAAATGGAAATTCTCTAATGGAGAACCCATCGGCATGTATGAATGACGCATTCTTTCAAACAATAAAAAAGATATCAGTGTTGACTGTGATTTATGAAAATCTAAATTCCAGGGATTGAATATTGATATCTAAAGTAACCACGACATATTTGGACCCATCTGAATTTACCGATTTTGCTATGGCAGATATATGACTATTCAATTTACTGCTTCCTTTTAATATGGTATTTTCAGGGTTGTGAACTTTTTAAAGAGAGCGTAAGTGAGGCATGAAATAGTATTAGTTGCATTGTTTTCTGCGCATCACTAATTCTGAATTGCATATTCAAGCCACGAATGACCAAAATGATAGAAGTATTTTCGAAATAGCTACACCAATTATATTAGTCATGATGAGATTTTATATGGACGCCGAGTGAATAATCAAATTACGTTAGAAATAGTACTTGATTCAAGAATTTTTCAGTATAGTAAATAAGTAAAAACATTGAACTTATGAATATAACAATTTTCTGCAATAGAATGCAAACAGTATAATTCTGTGTGTCCGAGAATTTTACTCTATATTAAAATTTTTTATTATATGATCAATTCAACGATTGGATCACTCCTCATTCTGTTTCTCAAGGGGATTGTCCGCTCAACCTTCACTCTAATCAAGCGACTACCGTATTCTAGAGAATTGAGTTTCAGTAGTTGGTGCACTCGATATTCCGCATTTGGGCGCCGTAACCTCAACCCGGCCTACTGTACCTATCAGGCGGGAAGTTCAAATTGACCAGCTCTTCTAAAGGGAAGTGACTAGTGTATTCGTTTAGTTCTTCTGTTGAATTTACTTATTTTTTTTCTTTTGATCATCGGGCTGGCGATTATTACAAAGAAAATCGAATTGCAATTCGAATTTTTTTTTCTCTCGAGATTTTTTGCCCAAATTCGGGTTTTTGACCATCGGACCTCAGTATTTGGAGTCGTCGTCATTGACCTTCGACAAGTTTCTCTCATTTATTCAGTTTTTTTCAACATTATTTTGGGTTTCCGTTTTTTTTTTACCTTCGACTATTCGGGAGGATGGCAGCACTGCACGCGCTGATTACTCTTCATACATCTCGTGCTAAATTAATTGCCGATATTTTTTCGGAGAATCGACCACTGATATTTTTGATCAACTCGGTGTTGCACTTCTCGAGGTTTATTGGGAGAAACTTCAAACGGCTCATGAGAAATTAATTAACGAGGTCGCCAAGATCGACGCATTCGCTGATCTTCCTTATATCAAAGCCGGGATATTCGATACTTCGCTTGAGCATTACGCCGCTGCTAAAATTACGTTAACGCAATTGATTGAGAAAATCAATCGGCGCGGCCAACCTCAATCACACTCGACGCGGCTCAGTTAATGACCATAATTCTTCGCAGGGATCCACTAGGAGAGCGCTCCCTAAGATTTCGATTCCTAAATTCTCTGGAGATTATAAACTCTGGAGACCTTTTCGCGACCTGTTCCAATCAATGGTTGGGTTAAATCCAGAGATTTCGGGAGTTGAGAAAATGCACTACCTCCGCATCAGTCTCGCTGACGAGCCATTGTGCTTAATCACAAACTTGCCCATCTCAGAGGATTCATTTTCCATCGCCTGGAATCTCTTGGTTTCTCGGTATGAGAACAAGCGTCGTTCGCTCGCTGCTCAGTTTGATCAGCTCCTCAGCCCAACTCCAATGGCAGCCCAAACTTCAAAGGAGCTGAATCGCTTGACCACTGCAACCTCAGAAGCACTGAGCGCTCTTAAGACCTTCAGCTCCCCCACTGAACACTGAGATCTAGTGGTGGTGCACATCGTTGTCGATCGGTTGAGCAATAAGCTGCGTGAAGCGTGGGAGAATAAGATCGGGGCATCAACTGAATACCCTACCCTCACGGAGTTGTTCGATTTTCTGCAAGGTCGTGCGCGCGCTAAGGAGAGCTTGGAGGGAGTGTCCTCTAACTCCAAGTCAGCTCCGGTCTCTTCACACTCGTCGATCGGCAATAACAACTCATGATCGAGGTCGCAAGCCAAGTCCAACCCTATGGTGAATGCGGTTCTTTTCGACCCACTCAACAGTCATCGCAGAAGTCTCAAGGCCCACCTCAAAAAATACAGCCCACTCCAGCTAAAGCATGGGCTGAGACGAGCCGGTACCCTTGTTCCTACGGCAGGGGAGAGCATTATATCGCTTCCTGCAGCGGCTTTAAGAGTCTGACGCCCGGCGCTCGCAAGGAAGTTGTTAATCGACTTCCTCTCTGCTACTGTTGTATGGGCAAGCACAGTATCAGAATGTGTCAGACTACCAGTAGATGCAAGCTCTGCCAAGACAGGCACCATACAATGCTCCATCAAGACCGCTCTTCTCATCCAGATCAAAGTGGTTCTGCATCCCAGATGGCTTCTCTCAATGACTCAGGAGCTCAGCAGCAGAACGGTTCGGCTTCGATGACCAGCGTCCCTGTCACGACCTACACTCACGCAGGTGATTCTGTTCAGGCTACGACTTCAGCTCATCCTCAGCAATGAAGCGAACCGTCCCAAGCGGCGATTTCTTGTTCGGCTCGCAGTTGTTCTGCGTAAACCTCTCGGCCTGGAGTCCTTATTGCAAACAGTTTAGCTTTTCTCATTAAGGATTTTTGCCCTCCGTATCAGGTTCGAGTGTATTCAGGTTGAGTGTTTTATTGGATCCAGGCTCCGAGCTCTCGCTCATCTCAGATAAGCTAGTTCGGAAGTTGAAATTGAAGAACCAGCGTAGTTCCATCTACATCTCATGAGTAGGTGAATCATCGTTTAGGATACCGTCCGGTGAAGTACATCTCAAGCTTCAATCGATTCACTCTGCCGAACGCATTCATGTTTCGGTCCAACTTCTTGATCAACTCACGTCTTCGCTGCCAACCTTCTCAGCAGAGGATCTCTAGTGGGACCATCTCGAGAATTCGCAGCTCGCTGATCCTCATTTTCGAGTTTCTGCACCAGTTGACCTTCTCATCGGATCTGACGTTTTTGGAAAACTCATTAAGCCCAGCGTAATTAAAGGAGGAGCGCAGGCTTCTGTTGCTCAGCTAATCAGTTTTGGCTGGATCATTTTTGGACCAACGGGATCGAATCAAAAGACCACTTGCTCTACTCATCACGTCAGCGTTTTGAATGAAGAGCTCCATGATCTTCTGATCAAGTTCTGGGTTCGGGAGGAAATCCTTGGGTACAGGGACTCGAGCCTCTCAGAAGAGGAGTTGAAGTACGAACAGCACTTTCGTCAGACGTACGCGAGACACACCTCAGGTCGTTACATCGTTCGTTTGCCCCTTTCCGCTCCAGTTTCGTTATTAGGTAGTTCGCGTCGTCCAGCTCTAGCATGTTTGCATCGGATGCTCGGAAGAATCTCAAAAGATCAGCGCTTTCTCTAGCTCTACTCTGACTTCCTCAGGGAATATGCAGATCTCGACCACATGAGGCTAAGAACTCGCTCTCACTTTGGTTCTTCGTCTTCGGTTCAGGCGGAGACCGCCGGTTGTTCTGACGAGATGACCTTACCACATGGAGCGCAAGCTTCAGGAGAGTTGAGGGTCTCCGAGGAGCCTCAAGTAGGCTCGTCTGGCATTCAGGAGAGTTACTACCTGCCTCATCATGGTGTTGTCAGAGGAAGCAGCGAAACGATGAAACTGAGAGGAGTGTTTAATGGATCAGCGAAGACCAGCTCAGGAAAATCGCTCAACGATATCCTCCACACAGGGGCTAAGATTCAGCATGATATCTTTGATGTTATTTTTTGGAGCAGGCTGAACAAGGTAATCTTCAGACATCACTAAAATGTTCTGGCAGATCCGAGTACATGAAGATGACTGGCCCCTGCAGCAGATATTATGGACCAACTCAAGTGGTGAAATTGCGACGTATCAACTGACCACCATTACTTACGGTACTAGATCAGCTCCATTTCTCGCAAATCGTGTTCTTCTCTAACTTTCAGAGGATGAGGGACATAGATTTCCATTGGCCATCTCGCCTATTGTGAACTGAAGATACGTCGACGACATTTGTGGAGGTGCGGATACTCAGGATCAGCTCATAGAAACAGCCCGTCAACTTCGCGATCTCTCTGCTGCTGGAGGAATGCCTCTGCCGAAATGGCACATCAATAGTCCAGTGTTACTGCAGTGGCTTGATCCTGACAGTACTTCTAATGACCAGCGAGTATATGAAGATTCGACGACCAGGATACTTGGGTTATCACGGCAGCCGAGCTCAGATAACTTTGTCTTCTCAACTCAGACCAACGATGAATTGAAAGTCTGTAAGAGGAATATACTCTCAGAGATACCTCAGATCTATGACCCGCTCGGAGTTTTATCTCCTGTAGTGATCAGAGGGAAGCTGCTCATGCAGGAGACTTGGAGTGGCAAGCTCGGCTGGGATGATGAAGTTCCAGATCAAATGGCTCAGCGTTTGAAAAGTTTTCGGAATGTTCTCACTCTATTCTCGAACCTATCTGTTCCAAGATGGTTAGGCCTGCTCCAGAATTCGTCGATTGAAATTCACGGATTATCAGATGCTTTTACTCTCGCAATGTCAGCCATAGTCTATCTCCAAGTCTTTAATGGAAATGAAGAGCCTCGGATTTGTTTGATCTGCTCGAAAATGAAAGTAGCCCCTCTGAAACGGTTGACAATAGCAAGATTGGAACTCATGGCTGCTGTTCTTCTTGCTAGACTTGTGAAGCTCGTCAAAGATCAGCTCAACCTTTCCGAAGCTCCGACGTACTTGTGAACCGCCTCTTCATTTACGCTCACGTGGATCAGCGCGCACCCTTCTAGATGGAAGGAATTCATCAAGAATCGGGTTCAGCTTATTCAGGAGATATCAAATGCTCAGTGGAAACTCGTTCCTGGCAAAAAGAATCCAGCAGATTGCGAATCTAGGGGTCTTACCACAGCTCAACTCTCGTCTCATAAGCTCTGGTGGCAAGGGCCGCCATGGCTCATGAATAGCTCATCATCTTGGCCATCTCTCGGTATTTCCCCAGTGGCATCAGCGGATCTGAAAGAGAAACCTGGTGTCGTGCTCAATGTTAAACTCCAGCGCACCGAGATCTGGGATTTAGTTCATCGTTACTCCTTTCTCAGTGAGCTATTCAGAGTGACAGCTCTTTGTCAGCGGTTTATTGCTCGGTTCAGGAAGGTTCCTGGTTCCTCGTTGGGAATACCACTCAACCCTGGTGATATCGAGCAAGCCCGACTCTTCTGGATCAAAGCCAGTCAATCGGCATATCTCTCTACGGACCTGATAGCTCTGTCCAGAGGGCAGAAACTTAGTCCATCGAGCCCGCTGACTCGTCTGACAGCGTTTCTGGATCATCAGAGAGTTCTTCGTGTTGACGGAAAGTTAAAGTTTGCTCAGCTCGACGGCGAAAACAAGCATCCAGTCATTGTACCGAAGGAGTCTCAGTTTGCCCAGCTTATCATTAAGGATGCTCATCTCAGAACTCTGCATGGAGGACCGCAGCTCACACTTGGCCAGCTCAGGAAATCCTACTGGATCCTCGGAGGAAGAGCTCCAGTTAGGTCGTTTCTTTTGAATTGTGTTGCTTGTGCCAGACAGCGAGGAATTCGAGCTCAACCGTTTATGGGTCAGCTTCCAGTTGCTTGTCTCATACCTGGCCATGCGTTTCTTAACACTGGAGTTGATTACGCCGTACCAGTGTCGCTCCGCTCATGGAAAGGATGTGGTCATAAATCATGCAAAGGATGGCTTGCAATTTTCGTTTGCATGGCTACGCCCCCGGTTCATCTCGAAGTCGTATCAGACTATTCAGCTGAAGACTTCATAACTGCGTATCGTCATTTCGTTGCCCGGCGCGGGATCTGTAGGAATCTGTTTTCCGATTGCGGAACAAACTTTCTCGGAGCCGACAAAGAAATGAAGAAGCTCTTCTCGATGGTATCAAAGGTGTCTGAACAGCTCGCTCATCTTTTGCTCAATGACGGAACAAGATGGTCTTTTAACCCTCCAGGTGCTCCGCACTTCGGAGGTAAATGGGAAGCTGCGGTGAAGTCGGTGAAGTTCCATCTCAACAGAACGATCGGTGATGCTATGCTCACTTTTGAGTAACTCACCACTTTACTCGCGCAAATCGAAGCCGTGCTCAACTCTCGACCACTTGAACCACTCTCGGAGGATCCTGATGACATCAGTGCTTTCACACCAGGACATTTCCTGATTGGCTAAGCATTGGCCGCGGTACCTGAGCCTTTTCTGGACGATTTGAACGTCGCTCGTTTGTCCCATTGGCAGCTTATCTAGCAGAAGGTCTAGTACTTTTGGAAACGGTGGTCCACTAGCTGTCTTCAGCATCCGCAGTCCAGCTTGAAGTGGCATCACCCATCTCAAGACATCAGGATTGGCTCTATAGTACTTCTATATATATATATATATATATATATATATATATATATATATATATATATAT